TGTATAAAAGTCAAGGAAGATGTATAAAAGTCAAGGAAGAAGTACAAAAGTCAAGGAAGAAGTACAAAAGTCAAGGAAGATGTACAAAAGTCAAGGAAGAAGTACAAAAGTCAAGGAAGATGTATAAAAGTCAAGGAAAAAGTACGAAACACATTTGATATAACACTTTAGGCGCGCGCTTATTTTTATGGCGCGTGACATCTCTTCTTGTGGAGCGGTCCTTTGAAACCATTGTGGGGTTGCGATGAGGACGACGGCGCCGACATTGGCTAACGCGAGGCAGAGGAGAAGAAGGGAAACTTGAGCCAAGATGGCTACGGTTAGTGACAAACGAACTATAGCTACCTCGAAGTAATCATGCTCTAAGTTCCGCTATGTGGCTGCGTACTACTAGACTCTAGTAACTAGAGAAAGCGCACGCCCTAAACCCTTACAGCTTTCTCCCCCTTCGTGAGCGGCCATGACGTGAGGTACTCCCCTGGATAGCCTCTAAAAAATGCCGCTCATGATCCCTCTTAGATCTCCTCGGAGTTGTAGTAGCAGTACCATTCTGGGATTCAGTGGTCCCGTCAATAAGTAAAGGATAAGACATATGATCTTCTCCCCCTTCATGGGGTGTATTATCAAGAACCTTGGAGTCAGAGTTCCCCTCATCGTGAGCTAACGGCTCTTCATCGCTGAAACCTGAGTCTCCTGTAGGGTGATCTTTCTCTACATGGGGATCATCCTCATCATAAGTAAAGAATCGGCGCAGATTTCTAGCGTGAATGATCATCGGCGCCCCACCATCGACCGGCTTGACTGAATAACATTGTTTACCTTTAGCACCAATAATTTCATACTTCTCATCTCGAACATATTGACCCAACTTTGGGTTCCGGTCTTTGGTAATAAGAACGATATCTCCAGCCTCCAACGGCTGAGTACCAATGCTCTTCTTGCTGCTCTCCACTGCAGCGTGTTGTCTCCTATCCAACCAGAACTCTCGGAAAATTCCAAGCATATGATCACGTCTCTTGAGACGGCGACGGCAATCAGCTATCACCTGAGCGTTGTGCAGCGGGTCCGAGGGAAGGAATTTCGGACGCAATCGTTCCCATTCTTCGGCTGCATTATCGTCAGCGGTCAAGAGGCGAGCGATCGGTAGCTTAGAGGAGTACCCATAGACCAACTCGAAAGGAGACGGAGCACCATCCTTTGGGGTAGAATTGTTAATACGATTAGCAGCAATACATAACATGAGTTCCCAATCCGGCATCTTGGCATTTTGTAGCATAGAGCGTAGGCAGCGTCCTAGTACTTTGTGCTTCACCTCATAGAATCCTCCAAGATGAGGACTCCTGCTTGGCAGGACTTCATGTCGCATAGCATTCATCAATAATAGTGACGAGAACCCTGGATGGCGACAGAACTGACTTCCCTGATCTGTTATGATCAGATCCGTCACATTTCCCCATTGCCACACGATAACCTTCTCGACTTCCGTCACAACAGTACTGCCTCGACAATCGGGTATTAATCGAAAGCAGGTGAAGCCGGTATAGCGGCATACAAAGGTGACCACGTACCAAGGTGGCTCCGTCTTTGCCGTAGCTGCCATCCCTACCCTTGGAGATCGCATTGGACCATATAGATCGATCCCCACGGTCCGAAATGGACCGAAAGGAACACCAATGCCTCCCGTTTCTTCTGCAATATCCGATGGTCTTACCACCGAGCGTTGGCATGGTTCGCAAGCATTG